CCCATTACATTTACAAAATTAACACCAACTTCAACTGACCTCTGGCCGTGTTAAAACCGAATGTGCTAGCGGCCTTATTTAACACACTAATTTTAAGTAAGTTTTTCGATTTTAACACATTTGAGGGGTTAACAACACTTAGAACTGGTTGCATGAATACCGATTATATGTTTTCTTAAAGACTTGATAATGGTTATACGACAATAGTATTGCAAAAAAAAAACAGTCCCCTAACCATCCCTACTATACTACACTATACTGAATTAGGTGTGCGTGCTTAGACCACCCCATGAAGGGCCCCCATACCTGACCTGAAGTGCCCTTTAGAATAACAATGGGTGTAGGGAGTTGGTTCTGTTAGAAAGGGCACTCCTTGTTGCATTACTAAACGACAACTTAAAGGTCCCAATGCCCAACATTTTGTTTTGTGATTTGTTCGTTTTCATTTTATCTTTAGAGTTTTTAAATCAAGTGAAGCTTCTTTTTTGAAATTCTATATTATTTATAGAGTTTAAAAAGACATTTATTTTATTTATGTTTAATAACTAATAAAATTAACTAATTATGAAGTATGAAATTATTAAAATTGGATAATATCTAAGCTTTCATTATTACCAATACTTTTTTTTATTTAATGAAATTTACAACTGTATAAACAATACAACTAGTAAAAATGCACACATTAGAAATAATGACATGAACAGACTTGAAGAGATACAGCCCAGTGGTAGCACTCCCTATTTAATTCTAGGTGAGAAGATCACGAGGCCATCTCCTTTTCAGACGCCTAGGGGAATTACTGATACTAGCATTTGGTTTTACAAAAATCAAATTCATTTTCCAAAAACATAATATAAAAAAATAAGAAAAAATTAGAAAACTTTTTAAATTTTATTTTACGTCAAAAATATACATAGGTATCTTAAAAATCGAAGTGAAAAAAAGTGATTAAAATTAATTTCTATTTTAAAGTTTAGTTAATAAGAAAATTTCTGTGAATTTTAAGACTTAATGCATCGATATGGTAAATGAAGAACAATTTAGTTTTAGATAGGTTTTTGATTTCCAGATTGAATAAAATATGTAAAAATGTCACATTGGGGATTGTAAATGAAACATGTTTTTTTTTTATCATTTGTAATGTTTTTTAAATCCTTAATATTATCAGAATGAAAAAAAAATTATACGGTTGAAAATCCTAGAATATATAACTTTTTCGAATATCAATGATTTTATCTTACACGCTAGGTACTGAACTCTAGAAAATTTAGACCTGGAATAGGCCTAGAAAAAAGTGAAGTTTCCTTCATCTAAGAATCACTATTTTTAAAAATAAAAATCTACTTCAAAATTAAATATCAATACAGTGAAGTTTAATACCTATATTTCTAATATTTAAATTAAAGTTGGAAAAGTTATTTCAATGCTAACCAAAATAAGCAGAGTTTTGTATCCATATGAATTAGATAAAAATGGACGAATTAATTTCTTCTATTTTTCGGCCCAGATCATTTCTCCTGTTTAAAATTTTTGTTTTTTCTTCGTGAACATTTAATTATTAATCAAAATAAAAATAATAGTTCGCTTTTAAAACGATGGTTTTATCGAATCAATACAATTACATTGAATACTTGTTGGTTTACCGTTGTATATTATCGAGGAAGCAGATGGCGGTGATAAAAAGACTAAAATAGTAAAATGACTACTTTATTTCAAGCCAACGTTTCGACCCGACTTATCAGCTCTTCTTTAGGAGCGTATATGCAGTATGGAGTTTTAGTTGAAATTCTAGTTTCAGTTCGAAATGTTGGCTTGAAATAAAATAGTTATTTCACTATTTTAGTTTGTTTTTTTTTTGCCGCCATTCCGGACCATCTCCTTCCTCAACAATACAATTACAATTATGTTCAGTGAAAATAGGTTAAATTTTCTGATTCAGACACTTAGGAATATAATTTTCAATATAACATGAAAAACGTTTTACAAGATATTAAAGGCTAAACCCTATAAAGGATGTGAAAACTTATAATTACTTTCTGAAACTCATTTGAAACTACTCCTCTCAAATATGTGAGACAGCTAAAAAGTCTTATATGTATAGCACAAGTTTGTTTTCCAATCTAAAATATTGAATTATCACACAAGGACCCTAATAAGAACCAAAATAACACTTTTGCTTACCATAAGTTTACTAATATAATAACATTGGAAAGCACGTCAGCGAATCAGATCGGTGTTGGAAAAAACAATAATATAAAGCCTATTATAATTTTGTCATTATACATATTATATATATTATAATATTAAATATCAATAATATGTTATTAAAAAGATTATTTTATCAATATATAATAATTGTCATAAAAATATATTTTCGTTATTTAGTGGTTATACTCAATAGTTTAACATTGTTTTAAAAAAAAGTTTAGATGAATTAGAATATTTAATATGCATATTTTTTAAACTGATACATTTATAAAAATATTTTTGATAGCTTAATTACATTCATAATTTCACCACATGAAATTGAAATCTTATCTCAGTTACTTTTATTTTACTCTTTCATGTCTTCGATTTTATTTTCTGAATTCGTTATATAGTAATGCTGTAACTTACAAATAAAATTCTATCAATTCATTTTATAAAGAACGTAATAGCGTATTTAATTTTTCATACTTACTTAATATTAACTTTATTTCGAAATATTTACGCTAGGCAGAAATTTTAACAACCAACGCCATAATTAAATTGTATACAGTTTATTTTATTAATTATTTGATCGGAAATTAAATCTTTTCATACCATACTGTGTTGTTCATCGCCGGAATTTTCATCCCTTAAAACATTTTCGGTTCTGATCGCACGAGTTCCCAGTGTTGCGGAATTGTATTGCCTAGCGCCTTCCTTCTCAATAAAAGTTAAAAATAAAATTTAAAAACTGATGTAATTATAATAATTTTGATACTCCTTATTATTATTTATTTATTTCCTTGACTTTTAAATATTTATTAGCTCATGAAGAGAATTGTCTAACAGCCTATCAAGTGAATAATAGCAAAATAACAATGTATGGATACTGGAAAGATCAAGCAACACTTCCTTCCCAGTTTGACTCATTTTCTTTGATTGTGTGAAATCTCTCAAACAGCAGAAATCTCTCATTTTTAGTTTACTCCTTTGTATTGCTGAATAGGTCAACCATATTTTTTGTTCCCCATGTAAGACCACAGCTAAAAAATCCTTTGTTTTGCTAGGTTTGTTGGTCAGGAATCAATCAACAATGTACTGTTGTTATCATTCGTAATATTGTTTATTAAAAGTTACACTTGTAGATCTTTTCCTCTACACCTATCTGTTGAATACATCCTAAAGAATTAGGTATATATGTATGTATTTAATTTTGTTTAAGTTTTAGTTTTGAAGATTCCAGGGGAGGAAATAGAGTTCAGTAGTTTCAGCCATTTGTTATCGGACTTCGGATTTACTTTCCATAAGACTGGTATTTTTTCTCTCTCATTGGTCCATATTTGTTTATGTGAGTGAGCTGAGCTATTTACTTGGGGGTAGGGTGGCCAAATGGGCTAAGCTGTTGGTGTAAATAACGCGTTGTTCTGTAACCTGCGTTGTTCTGTAAACCGAAGGTTACGAGTTCTAATCCTGGTGCTGGGAGACTTTTATATCTGTTATTAATCCTCCATACTCTCTCCTGGACCGGGAAAAGTCCCTTATAGCCGAAAAGGCAATGAAGGAGAAAAATTAAAAAAAAAAAAAAAAGGCTATATACTTAAGGTAAATGTACCAGTAATCAACACTTGAAGAGAAATTTCCATTATTATTCTAATCCACAGCTTTAGTTCTCATAGTAGATCTTTGCAAATGGGTTTATTTTACAGCTAATTTGTCTTTTATCGTATTTTGTGTTTTATACAGTCAATTAGGCACCACTAATAAGACACTCAGGTTTGGAGTCAATAGGTTTTTTTATAGAATTAAAAAAACACAAAATAAATTCTGCAGAGCTTTAAACAGAAATATCAAACAACAGATAAACGAATCAAAATTCCAAACTTATCTCCTCCAGAAAAAATGATAAGGAAACTATCCTAAAACAAATACCCAAACTTGGTTCTTAAAACAATCAACTACCAATCGGCTATTGTGGCATCATATCACTTGAGGTTCAGGCATCACCCTCATACGTGTTTCAACTACAAATCTATGCGTATTTGCACTCTATTTTAGGTGATCTATCTGTTAATGAGTTGAAAACTGTATATTACTGGTATTACAGTGTCCATTATTGGAACGTTTACTTTAATACAGGGGACAATCTTTTTGGCCCGCGGACAACATTGAGTCCTCAACTAAGTCACGCATGCCATGGCTTTGATGAAAAAATATTATGTTCTGTATGACACTTCAGTAGTGAAATGAGCTTTTTAAGGGAAGCAGCTCATACAATAAATACTGTAGTAACCTCCTGTTTGAGTGATTTACTAAATTTCTTTTTTTTTTTTAATAGTTTTAAAAATTTACCGTGCAATCAAAGAAACTTTCGTGGGCTGGATTGGAGGTGTTTGCGTGCCGTAGTTTGAAGATCCCTACTTTAAACAATCACAATGTATTCTCTTTTTAAACCATAACGCATGTACAGCTACTCAATGCAAGCACGTGTCTAGAAAAAATATGAGAAATTTATCTCTGAAAGCATTATTGTTCTTGTAATTACTGATTTTTTTCCCGTCAAGAACCACTTAAACATAATTTCTTATGAGTAGTTTTTCATCTTTCTTTCAGAGTAATTACCGTTCTTAAAAAAAATAACCCAAAATTAAATCCAGAATCCACTACTGCTCACATCTTCAATATTTCTAGTGTAACGACTGACTGGTAGCTTTAGTCATTAAGTTCAATAAGCCTGCTTTACTTTGTCAAAGCTTTCTTGAATCAATTTACTTTTGTGTTACCACTCCCATTAAGAACTCTTCTGTGTTCCTCAGGTACCTTGATCCCGAAGAGTGGCGGGGACTACGCCTACATCAGCGAGGCCTTCGGAGCGCTACCGGCCTTCCTCTACCTCTGGGTCGGCCTCCTGGTACTGGTGCCCACCGGCAACGCGATAACCGCCCTCACCTTCGCCCAGTACATCCTCCAGCAGCTCTGGCCCGTCTGCCAGCCGCCTTATGAGGCTGTACGGCTTCTAGCGGCACTAGTCACATGTAAGTAAAAATAAAATATATCAATTAAAATTCATGGTTAATTTCTGAATCTAAATGGTTGAAGTTCTAACCCAAGAAAAAAAAAGTTAGTACCTAAAAAACAAGCTAAATGCTATCAATAACAGCCTGGAAAATTGCCTAAATGGCACAATCAGTATTATCGGTCGCCTCTCTTAATGGCTGTGGAATTGATCCCGCTGGCAATGGAATTTAAGCGGACCTTGCACCATCAGTCGTGAATAAAAGTCACAAGACTGACAAGGATTGCTCCAATCATGATGAACCCTACACGTTCAATCATTACTGACCGTTTTAGTTCAGTTGACATTGACATAATAGGCATCATGGATCTGGTGCATTGTTCACTTATAATAATGTATTTAATTTAAAAATCTTATTTGAACATTGTCCTTTATAATTTGAACATTGCCATTCAAGAGAAAAATGGCGATATAATAACTAATTCCTAGTGCCTTAAAATGGTTGTGACAAAAGTTAGAAAAAAATAAGTCAACTTTTTTTTTTCTACTTTTGTTTCCCCATAAAAACCGTTCTGGGAAACATTGATTGTTTGACACACGTTTCTCTGGAGGGTAGGAATTCTTAAGTGGCGGTCTTGAGAGCGAAATGGCCATCAAAGGACCTGCAGGTACCAAAAACTGGCGCCTGTCACCCACTCACAAACAAGACTAATGCTGCAACCTCTGCTGGCTTCACTAAAAGATCTAGAAAACAAAACCATACCATTCATTCTATTTTTATTTCTTTTTGATTTATTGTTGACTAAATGTGTTGCAAATCGCACTATCACAACTAAAGTTCTTTATGCATTTACTTTTTGGAATTAAAAATACAGCAAGTTAGAAGTGAGAGCTTTGAAATATCTAAACTAAATAATTTCATTAATTTTATCTATTACCTGATTTATTTCTAAGACTATAGATTTTAAAGTAAGAATGATAGGTAGTTAATAGAGTTACAGATATACATTTATTTTATTTTATTTTTTTAATGTTGAGTGAAATTTATAATACTAACGGAATGTGAATACATTTTTTACTTTCAAATAACCATTTATGCAATATATAGCAAGGAAAAGTATCACATTGTGAAAAATTTAGAATCTGAGTTTTCATATGTTTTATCAAGGTCCCTTAAATAACCCGGTCTCGCATAAAGGCCTGTATGAGTATCTGTGAGTATTTGATGAGTCTAGCTCAAAAACAAAAAGTTGTATGGAACTTATTTAGATATTTCAGGCAAGTATATACCTCAGAAGTAACAGCATCTTTTGGATCAAAATCAACGATCCAGAAATGGCAATTTACTTTTCTTTCACAACAATAGAATTAACAGTTTCTATTATATCATTTATCTTTAAAAGTACCTTAAAATACCTGAATAAAGAATATAATAAAATAATGTTAAAGGTAGCAAAAGGAGCTACTTTGATTCACTAAGGCATTTTAGTTTCTTTGTTAATTGAATAATTAAAAAAAAAAAGGGTAAGGAAATTTATTCTTAAATTTTATGACAGGCATAATAATACGATTGAATAATTTTATATTGTTCATACTCCAATACTTCTAACAGTATCATATTTTGGCATACTTTCTTATTATCCTACAATTATACATGATACTTATTATCCTAAAACCTATAATGCTGGAAAAATCAATATAATACCTCCTTATAAATTAAATATTACACTCTTGTGTAAGTTTGTTCTTCAATAAAAATTGAAAAGACCCGTTTTATTATTTATAATTCTAAATTTTCTATTTTGTTTTTTCAGGTTTTTTAACTTTTATAAACTGCTATAATGTGAAGTGGGCTACAAGGCTCCAAGATGTCTTCACTGGTACTAAAGTTTTAGCATTAGTTATGATCATTATTTCTGGATTGTATGTCATGGTCCTGGGTGACGATGACCTCTTCAGTAAAGAGCCTTTCAAAGGAACCAACACTGAACCTGGCTATGTAGCTCTTGCCTTCTATTCTGGTCTTTTTTCCTATTCAGGATGGTAAGTGAACCCTATATCACCTCACATGTAGAATATTTAATTATTTTATTATTAATATGAATAAACAATGGTTTGTTCACACTGGTTTGAAACACACTATTTCAAAAGAATATTTTAAACATACTTCAAGAAATTTACTGACAAAAAGTTGCTGGTAACCAACATGTAATACTGGTAATGGCATTATTGAATATTGGTATTTATTTTATAATGTGAGTATTATAAAAGTATTTACTTAAAATTGACAGTAAAAAATTTCTATTTTCTGGAACATATATCGTTATATAAATACATTATATATAATATATTTTATATAATATATAAAATATTATATCTTATTTCATCGAAGGAAGTTTGTCGACTGTTCTACATATCATGGAAGATAAATATTCAGGACACAGTCAGTCCTATTTTATTATACTGAAATAAAATAAAAACTTTATACTGATTGCTTCCTGAATATTTATCACCCATTATATCTTGTTTCATGTTACAATTAATTTTCTTAACCATTTGTTAACTAAAAGATGTTTTATTTTAATTTAATTTTTTAAAATCTGTTTCTACAAACGTTTTATAAATTTCATATATTTCTGAATTTAGGAAGTCATTTTCAATGTTATATATTGTCTTATAAAATTATTTTAAGTTGTATGAATTATCTTTTTCATTAATACATTGTATTAATTTTTTCCAGGAACTACCTCAACTATGTAACTGAAGAACTTAAGGATCCTTATAAGTAAGGCATTAATTGTTTCAGTAGCGTGATGTGGTTAATTCACAAATCAACTGGTTTTAATTTATTGATTTTTTCTTTTTTCAGAAACCTACCTTTGGCGATTTGTATATCTCTGCCAATGGTGACCATTATTTATGTCATGACAAATCTTGCTTATTATGTTGTACTGTCGCCTAAAGAACTTCTCTTATCAAGTGCAGTTGCAGTGGTTCGTATTATCGCACTTAATGCCAAATGTTTTATCATTAACCAGAATCTTGATTTATAAATATCCAATTCGGCTTTTACGTTGTTTTCCACATTGAAAATATTGTTGTAGACATTCGGGGACAAGTTGTTTGGATCATTTTCATGGACAATGCCATTCTTTGTGGCATGCTCAACATTTGGAGCATTGAATGGTGCAATATTTGCTTCTGCAAGGCTCTTTTTTGTTGGTGCAAGACAAGGACACCTACCACAAGCGATAGCATTAATAAATGTTCGCCGGTTTACACCAGTGCCATCTTTGGTTTTCTTGGTATGTGTTATAATATTATCCTATTACTAAATTAAATTTTAAACTAAAAAGTATTTAATTATTATTATATAGTGTAATGTAAGATAATATAAGTCTTTTTTCATGGTTAGTGACCATAGCAAGGATAGAGGCTTTTTCAAAATTAAAAGAATGGTTGAGGATCAAGGTTTGATTTTGAGAAAACCTCCAACCTTGCCTCAGTACCTAACCATGAAAAGGAATGATTTCCGAATCCATCCACATCCACATGGAACAGAATCTAGTTAATCATAAAGTTGATAGAAAATGTAACTAATTTCCCAGCGCTACAGGCCAGCATTACCCTTGGCCTCCTGAGTTATTTTTCTCCACTTCTCTCTATCCTGTGCTTCTCTCTTCCAATTGCGAACTCCTAACTTCCTCGCATCTCTCTCCACTTCATCCTTCCATCTGCTTCTAGGTCTTCCTCTTTTCCTCTTCCCATTGAAGTGCGCTTCCAATATTTTCCTCAGCACCAATTCATTCTCCATTTTGACCACATGTCCTGCCCATCTCAGCCTACTTGCCTTGATATAGTTAGTAATATTTTTATGATAAAACCTGTATTTCCATAATATAATATAAAGTTGGTCCTTTGGGAAAATTTATAAAATTATAAATTTATAAAATTGCAATTATATATTTTTTCATTACAGTGTATTGTCACAGTGGCTCTTCTGTTTATTGAAGATGTCTTCATCCTAATAAATTACGTTAGTTTTGTGGAAGCAGTTTTTACGTTGATGTCCATTTGTGGTCTTCTCTGGCTAAGGTACAAAAAACCAGATGCTAAAAGGCCAATCAAGGTATGTATACAAAATTAATCTCAATCTTTGGTGTAGTTAATTATACACAATAGAGGAACAATATTAAATTAAGTAAATCTTATAATTAATATACTTTTATGAAGGCCTGAACTTCAGGTTGAAACGTCGGCAAATGTTAAAATAAATATTATTTATATAATAATATTTATATAAATTTTATCTGACTGGTCACCCCAACCATCCTTCTCTTCATTATTCATTATTCAACCATCAACCCACAATTAAAATTTAAATAATTTAATAATTTAAGTTAAAAATTTAAACAACCGATTGAAAACTTTTTCTTCAGTTTTTTTTTTATTATAAAACCATTTTATTCAATCTCCAGTTAAGAAATCAATTTTATTATACTATCATAGCCAACCTCAATATGAATTTCAGAATGATTTATAAACTGGCCCTTACACAAACACAAATCCAAGTTGAGAAGCAATATAAATAAAATTAAATAAATGAGAACCTGTAAATGTAGTTCCAAATATAAAATAAATATATAGTGAATGTGAACAAATAATGTTGTATCTGGAACCAGAAACAGGCAGATACACTTCAGCACGTATTATTCAATTGACCTATCTATAACAGTTTCCTATCTAAATTTTTAAATAAATATCTAATTTAATTTACTTATAAACAATTTACTAACATTATCCAGTATTTTTATTCATTTCTCGAATTAAGAGCTTATATATATGATTGAGGAATTATTTGGTTCAATTATTTGCATCTTTGTAAAAAGTACAGATTCCTTCATTCGATAGTATTTAGTAGCTATCTTTAATTATCATGAAGCAAATGGGACATTTGCTTTCAAAACTGGTTATATCCATTTTCTTTAAATATTTGCCCTATCTTTAATCCTTTCATAACGGGGAAAAAAATTCTAAAATTCAATCTAGGAAAAGGCAGAGACTTGAAGAATCTTGGAAACGTTCAAGATATAAATGAAAATTTGTATGTACGATAAATTGAAATTATGTGTATATCTTGCAAAAATTAATAAAAATGGTTTATTTTGAAAAATATCTTTTTTTTTCAACCAAAAACTAACCAGAAATAGAAATTTTCTGACGAAATTCAGGTATATCCAACATATTTTTTATATTTAATGGGATTTAATAAAAAGAGAAGATCGCAAAGTTGTCAATAAGTTTTGCTTAAGAATCTTTAAGTTATTTTTATCAACAAAAAACATTTTTTAAAAAATTGTTAAATTCATTTTTTTAATGAAATATTATTTGATCAGTCATGAAAAATGTTTAAAAATAGATGTAACCAGTTTTGAAACCAAACACCTCAATTGATTAATCGTAATTTTTAATGATTACAAGTTTGTAAGCAATTATGATAAACAGTAATATTAGATAATTTTAAGTTGTGCTTATATGTTAAATGAATATTTATGGAGTGGACTTATAACTTGACATAAGTAAATAAATCTATTCAGTTAATGTTCTAATTTTCATTAGTCTTTTTTATTTTTTTCAGGTCAACATACTGCTGCCTATCATATTTTTCATAATCTGTGCGTTCTTAGTGATACTGCCGTGCTACGTGAAACCTTGGGAAGTAGGTGTTGGACTTGTGATTATTGTCTCAGGCATTCCTGTATATTATTTGTTTATCTATTGGAAGAACAAGCCACCTTGGCTTCGAAGAATAGGAGGTAATTTTATATTTTAAAATCTTATAACTACAGTATAACTAGCCTTTTCTTCACATAAAAGTTACTTATAATTATTTTTTTTTTTTACAGATAAGTTAACAATATTGTGTGCGAAATTGTTCATGTGTGTTTTGCAAGAAGACAAAAGTTCTTAAATGAATGGAATTCATTTATTGGATGGAATTCACTCTTAAATTTTAACATTAAAGTGAAAAAAGATTTGTAACTAAAGGGAGAAAAAGTTGAAAAAAAAAAAGTGGTTTATCAGATTGTACAGGGTTTTGGGATGAATACCAATGTATTCCAACATTGTAAATATTATGTACTTTTAGATTTTATAATGAATTACAATTATATTTGTAAGTAATATTTGTTCTTAATCTTTGTAATAATATCTTCATTAAATGAAGAATTGTTTTTTATGGTACTACATACTAAGTATGTATTATACAAGTATATAAAGTTATTTATTCATAACTTAATTCGCCAGTCTATTTTTTATGTTCCTATATTTTATTATTTTCTAAGAGTAAGATAAGTGAACAAAAATTAATTAATAACAAAACTTATGATTGATAGATATCTTAGAAATGACAAAATGAGAAAACTAATGAATGACAGAGGTCATAAAAGCGTAGTGTAGATATGAGTAAATTTTACCTAATAGGGTATTTAACTTATATAAAAATTATATATAACTTATAAATTATATTTTTAAAAATGACTGTTTTTCAACCAAATATTTATATTATTATTTCTTTGATATACAACACAATTAACACTCAAAGTATAGTCCATTTTTATCTACTGTCATTAGCCATCTGCTAGCCAATTGCTCGATCCTACGCTCATACCATTCTTTGGGGGGGCTGTCAAAGAACTCTTAGATCGCAATTTCAACTTCCCCAAAATTATCAAATTTTTTCTCTTGAAGAAATGGACCATGGGTCTAAATAAGTAGAAATGCAATGGCGCGAGGTCTGGAATATATGGTGGATGAGGTAGGAGTTCGAATCCATGAAGTTCTTTAAACTTTTCTTTGAAACGACAGGAAGTGTGAGGTCGAGCATTATCTTGTAATAAAATTTCTTTTCGCTTGATTGAGCAGGATAACGCTCTGACAACTTCGTGTACAATCTTTCCAGTTGTTCACAGTAAAGTTCAGAACTTATTGAGCATTCATCAGGAACAAATTCGTGATGAATAAATCTTCAAAATTCCATAAAATGCAAAGCCTGGATTTTTTTTTTCAAATTGCCCCATTGCAGCATCCGGAAAAGCAGTTTGACTGTGATCTAGGCATTGCTCATGGATATTTGGATTTTGCCAATAAACCCACATATCATCACATGTGACTATCCTACAGGTAAAATCTCATATCAGAAGAGTTTTCAATAAATTTTCACAAATGTCTAACCTCTCAACTGATTGATGAGGAGTAAGTTTGTGAGGGACCATTCAACTGCTCTTTTTCACCTTCCCCATGGAGAGTAGATAGTGACAAACAGTATCTTTCCACACACCACACTCTCCAGCACATTCATAAGTACTTTTTGGCGGATTTGACTCAACAACTTCCTGCAGAACCTCATCAATAACGATTAATGGTCGCCCATGGCCCTTCTTCCTTTCCAACGTTGTATCTCCACTGCTAAATTTTTCAAACCAATGCCAAGCAGTGCCCTGGTCAAGGACACCTTCCCCTTCATATTCAATAACATCATGAGTTGCTTCAGCGGCTGTGAAAATTTTTTTTCAGTAATACCTTAAACTTACGAGAATTTCGTAGGACACTCATGTTTCTTCTTTGAAACAAATAACTGAGACTTTTTTTCAAGAAGTCGAATGGGATTAAACAAGCTTAGAGAATGCTCTAAAGGGATTATCAAGTATTGGTAATTATTAAACAGGGTTAAAATATTTACAGTCCTTTGAAATCTTGAATTTGATAAATCATTTATTTTTTTTATACATCCTATTTTATATATTTAATACAACTTTATCCCATCCCAACAATCTTAATATAATTTTTTGCATCAATTATCTGCAGATCTATTACCAATAATGGCCAAGAATTTAAAAATAGTATTATATTTTTTTTCAAATTTGGGAAATCTTAAATTATGGCTATCCCATTTTTCATCTAATATATTTTTAAAAAACAAAAAATGCTTTCATGTTTTATAGGGTTTATGAAAAGTTCACGTCAATATATTGACCTTTTTTTTTTTTTCTTTTTTTTCCAGTTTCTCTGAGGTAAAAATATTAGCAGCTAAACATTAAGAAATATTTTAAATGTTATAAATATTTTTTTTATCATTTAGAGCATTATATTTTCAAGATTTATATACAATAAAATTTTTGGTGCTATGGAATGTATGATACTCTAATATACTACAATTTACTTCACAAAAATAGGCCCCTATAATTAATAGGTGCTCTCTAACAACAAATTATGCAATGTTTTTAGCAATAATAAGCTATGTTTCCGACTTGACCGATCTGTTCCCTGTTTATTATTTCTCTCTTTCATATATTTTCTTAATAAATACTTTCTTTGATATTATTGGGCCAAATATGTTTTCAGTGATCAATAATTTTTCTTCCAGTAAATGATCACAGATGGAATTTTCAGTGATAATTATTCAAACTTTGATTGGCAATGCAATTTCAACAATTGATTCATTTTTCTTTATTTCACCAAGCCCTGAGCAAATTATATAAGATCTTTCCTGGTGTAAGTCATATGGTCTATTATCTTATTTTTCAAATGCTTGATTTTTTACTTTCACTTACCTACATGTAATATATAGTAAAGGAAAATATTGCGATCATGAAAATTTTTGAATCCGTTTTCAACGGAAATACATGTTTTGAGGTCTCCTGAGACCAAATAACCAAGTCTCACAAAATGATCTATGTGTGTGTGTGTGTGTGTGTGTGTGTGTGTGTGTGTGTGTGTGTGTGTGTGTGTGTGTGTGAGTCTGTATTTTATCAGTCTAGCTCAAAAACGAAAAGTTCTATGAAAGAGAAATTGCATATTTAATGTTTTTATAAGCTTTCGATGTTAGAGCAACATTTTTGGCAAACCGGAAGTGGTACTTTATACAATCGATTGAACATATTTTTCGATTTACTCAAAAACGGCTCTAATTATTTTGAATTAACTAGATATATTAGTGTATTATTAAGCAATTTTTAATATAATGTAGGTTTTATTCTCAATGATGTTCTCTATCAGAGCTTAAATAGGTAAATTTCATTTAAAAAACGGTTAAATATAAAACATGAAAGAATTTGATAATTATCTAAAGGACAAATAAGAGATTGTAATGGATAATAGTTGCAATAGAGGAATCAAAGGAATATGAGCTTGCCCGAAAGATTACAACAGACTTCCATACCTAACATGATCTTCATATAATACAACTAAAATTTGTATATATAAGGGTATTTAAACAAACAAAAATACCCACAATGAATTGTAACTAAATATAGTGTCAATAATTTTTACTTTCACTTCCTCTTTATCTGAAAATACTTATGTCTGATAAGAAGTGGGTGGTAAGTGAAAGTAGTGTAATGTGTGCACTAGATTTTTATAAATGTCATCTCAAGTATTAATTAATATTTTTATATAGAATACAATATTTAAATCAAAATTTATATAATTGAAGGAAGTTAGTTGTCTATTCAACACATTATATTTGATAAATAATCAGGAAGCAGTCATTTTAAGATTTTTATTTTTGCCGACGTTTCAACCCAATCATGTAGGGCCTGTCTCCAGTACTGAAGGTGTTCAAGTGCCCAACACCTTCAGTACGGGAGACATGCTCTGATGATGACAGACATGCTTGGGAGTAAACGTCGGTAACAATAAAAATCTTAAAATGGCTGCTTCCTTATTATCTATCAACTACAAAATTTATGTCTTTGCTTAACCTAATAGATCTACCAACAGTGAAATATTATAAATATAATATAATAAACTATCTTATCACTGTTTTAACTAAAATTGGCCTCTATTGACAAAAATGTATCTCCTCTATGCTATACATTATAGACGTTTTTATTTAAAATATTTTTTCTTCATTAATAAAATTTGAGAATATATCTATTGATGAAAACAATGATTATGAATGAAAAAAGTTAATAATTAATAATTATATAATAAAAATATATATCAATAATAACCAAATTTGGTTGGTATATCAAACATACAGAGTCTGAATTACTTTCTCATCCCCAAAAGAGAACTTGATTTTTAAAAATAAAATTAAAAAATTTTGCTAATAAATATACATATTTATATTTGTAAAATGATTTTGGATGCTATATAAAAGTAATCTAATGAATTTAATATAGATATAAATAATTTATACTATATAGATCTTTCTTTTTTTTTTTTTTTGTTCTCTACCTCGCCTATTAGGCTATACGGGGTTTTCCCGGGTCAGGGGGTTAGGGCGGGGAATTTAAAATCCTCTCCAGCACTGGGACGCGAACTCATACTTTTTAAATCTTCTTAACTCTGTAATGCAATTGCCAAGCAGCTCGCGGTGCTGTGCACACGCTTTAGCCCATTTGGCCACCCCACCCCTTACTATATAGATCATTAGAAAAGATTAACTGAAAAAACCTACACAAAAAAAGAATAAAAAGTTTAAAAATCTAATGGCTAGCCATGTGTCAAATCTCAAACCCTAATGGCACGTATGTAGACTTATGTCTTTAGTTGGCATCAACTCAATTCAACAGGGATTGAAGTATGTATAGACAACAATGTAAACATGGCTATGGATGTGTTTAATGGATATGGTGTGCAAGCTGTATAATACAGCGAGATAATTGAAAAGGCATAGTTTATCATCTTGTCGTGAAGTACATTATGATCTGTCAGAGTGCGCCACCTCTAATAGGCATCCAAGTGGATATTTCATTTTAATATAACTTCGGACTAATCACCTAGATGCCCTATAAAATAATCCTTAACAATTGATAAAATAATAGCTGAAAAGCAAGATTATCAAGTCAGTAGACCTTATGCTAAATGTTGGTTAGGCACAAAATTAATAGGCTTTATCAATGTGGAAAGTGCGGTTTGATGTACACTTCCTGTGCATGTCTAATTCTTAAAACAAGTTCTAAAGAATAGTCTAAGCCAGAGGTCTCCACACTTTCTGGCCCGCGGGACACATTGAGATCTCGACTAAGTTCTGCGGGACACATTGAGACCTCCACCGAGTCCTGCGGCCTTGTGACTTGTGATGGAAAAAAAATCTTGTTCTATAAATGACACCAGCTGTAAAATTGAGTTAAGAGAAAAAAAAACATGTAATAAATGTTTTTGTAACCTCATGTGTGAGTAATTTGCTAAATTACATATTTTTAAAATTTAGCATTTAATCAAAGAAACTTTCACAGGGGGGATTGAAGGTACTTGCGGGTTGTAGTTCGGAGACCTCTGTTCTAAGGAGAA